AAAAAAAGACAATGGTTACATTTCGAAAGACTAAAAATATCTTATATTTTTTAATATTTAACTCCTTAAATTTACATCAGAAAAAGTCCCATGCATTCAACTGAATAAGTTTACAGCAACAAAGAGTTCAAAGCACTAAAACAAAATGGAGAACCGGATATAGGAAAATAAACTAGTGCTAATCAGTACTAAATATATATATATATATATATATATAAATATATAAATCATCTACCAAATACTCTATATTTTAGATTAAGCAAAGTTTCTAAAAACACCTTACATTAAATGAAATCTCAAAAATACATTTATTGTCATTATTTTGCTAAAAATAATGAATTGTGTTATTTATTTTAAATTTTGTTAAATTAACTTTATATATCTCTAGGGAAAAATTTAGAATGAAATGTTAAAAAGAAAATTAGAATATTAGAAATTGGAAAATATCTAGATATCTAACATACATTATGAAAGTTAATCAACATATTTTGTAAACTTTTTTGTTTTTTACTTTAAAACTCAAATATTAAAGGAGGAAAAGTAATTATACCTCTCAAGCAGATTTGGAAAAACTCAGGAAACTCGGATAACTTAATTCTCTTAATTAAGATAATTTTTATCAATTTAATTATCATAACTAATTATCATTTACAAATCATACTTCTCGATCTAGCAGTAGCATTAGCTTAGTTAAACTATCTCTGAGATCATCAAATCAGGATTGTTCATTGCAATCATTGACGACTGAGTAGGACAAGATCAGATCATTACTCACTAGTCTATAGAAAATGAAAATTCGTTTAAACCAAAAATAAAAGAAAAGAAAAATTGACAATTTTATTTTCTTCGAAACACATGGGACTGTTTATCCCTTTGAATAAAAATCATTAAAAGAAATTCTCAGCATTAATTAATTCCACGAGAGCATGTGCGTCACATGGGTTCAAGAGTTCTCTAAATGGGAATAGGTGGCATTTGTTTATTTGTAAATTAATTAAATAAAGGGAATCTGCAAAGTGCAAACCAGTATCATCTTCTTCAATCTTCAGCCACATTCTTTATCGCAGAGGAATCATTTTAATTTAAAAAAATTATGCTTTTCCTGGATTATGGATGAGAAAAATCTTTTTTGTTGATAAATTTTATTCTTCTTTTTTTTTCCTCTTTTATTAAAGCAAAAGTTGGCCTCAATACTTTTTTTCCCTGCATATAAATAAAGAAGAAACTACTTTTGAAAAAGATATGAAATTGATTATACCATCGCATAATTAATGTTTTTTCAAAGTTTTTTTTTCTTCTGTGCAAGGAACAGATGATAATTTGGCAAAAAAAAAAATTGGCCAGAAAAAAAAAGTAACTTACTTGAAAGAAAATATTTAAAATTTCAAAGAGAAAAATATGATAACTTTTATTTTAAAAAATGTAATTAATGTGTTGTGAGAAAATTAGAGATAGGATTGCCAAATAGAGTTATTTTTTTTTTAAGAAAAAGGAAAGACAATGGCTTGGAGCCAATGAAAAACCAAATTGATGAGAGATGTTTGCATGGACTCAATGCATTACATCATTCATTTTTCATCCAATAAAAACATGGCATTCATACGATATCAAATATAAATTAATTCTCCCATTACTAATAAGAGTTAATGAACATTTCAAACTTTAAAGTATTACATAAAAATTACCTTAAATCTTGAATTTTTAAAATATACAAAGTAGATTATAAACTTTTAAATCCAGAGTAAATTACCCTTGATCGTTAACTTATAAATAATAGTCGTTAATTATTGACTTTATAGGGTCCAGTCAATGTTGATGTGACAATCTCTTATTGATGTATTATCGGTTGATAAGCACCACAAACCCTAAGCTATTATGAGAGTAGCATCTTAGATACTAAAATTTTAAAATGTGTAAAAACTCTTTGAATTTTGAAATTCAAAGCAAATTATCCTTACCATTTATATGTAAAATGTTGACTGTTATATAAATTAAATTAGTCATAATGTAGTCCACTGTGGCAAATATATCGTTGGCCGCAACGAACAACCCAAAATTTTGTAAAATGACATTTTTTGTTCCTTTTTTTGCAATATTTTTTAAATGATTGATATTTCATACTTCTGTATATTCTATAACTTTAATTTAGTTTTATTTTAAATAATATTTATTTATTTAATGGTGAACTAATAAAAACTTGAAATCCCATTTAAAAAGAAGTTTAAGTATTAGAGAATTTTAATTAACCAATTAAGTTGGGTTTGAAATTAAGATTTTACAAATAATGGATATGGAAGCCGATTATTTCATCAACAAATACAAGTAGCAACTAAAGCTGCAAAGACTGAATTCTCTCGAATCCTCCAACTGACGAACTAAGTAAAGGCAAAGAGGTGAGAGCATCATTAATATATGAGGAGAAATGACACATCATTGAAATGGGGGGTAATTTGCTTTGAATTTTAAAATTTAAAGAAGTTTTTATATATTCTAAAAGTTTAAGATCCAAGATGTTACTCTTGCAATAGTTTAAGATATGTGTAGTATTCATTAGTTGATGACACATCAACATTGACTAGCCACCACAAAGTCAACAACTAATGGTGATTATTTATAAGTTAACGATAAGGGATAATTTGCTCTACATTTAGAGGTTTAGAATCAGTTTTGCACACTTTAGAAATTCAAGGTTTAGGATGTTTTTCATATAACACTGTAGGATCTAGAATGCTCATTAACTCTAATAATAATAAAGGGACAAAATGTAAGAAATTAAATAAACATTCTATTATTAAAAATAATGACACATTAAAATTTTATTTAATTGAATTTGTACAGCTTTATTATATGAAACATGGATGACGTAATGTACTGAGTTTATGTAAGAATTTCTCCCAAATTAACACTATTTATGAGTCATTTGACAACCTATAAATAAATAGTAAGAGAATTTTGTTTCGTGAATAACCCTCCTAGCGGGTTCAAATTAGTTGAAACGTAGACTAATTTTTTTTTTTTTAAAGAGCAGACTTAAATTAAAAATAATTAAAATGGGGTCCCATATAGAATAAGTGGAGCATGAAGAAGATAAAGTTTGTTAAAAGTTGAATTTGACATTGAATTTCCTTGTGTTGGGGATAATGACACCCACAATGCTTCAAAGTCCTTTCTGGCAAACGTTAATAATCATCTCACCCATGTCTCCTTGCATTATTGAAACAAGACTGAGAAACTTTTCCTAAGTTTTCTCTCTTACTTCCCAACTTGCAGGAGATATCATAATTCCCAACTGTGGATCAGGGCCACATCTGTTTGTTTCATTCTTGATTTTGGCTTTCAACAAGACACATAACATTATTATTATTATTATTATTATTAGTGACATCAAAAAATTGAATAGAAAACAAAGCAGCTTTAATGCTGTGGATGTGGCTTTGGATTGAGGAGGGACCATTTCCACAGCAGTTTGAGCTGTGATTGACCAGTGAGTGGTCGCTACAAAATCATAACCCAGACAACCAACACCACACACACAAAGTCATTTAATACATTGAAAGCACTTAAACTTACACAAGTCATTTAATACATAGAAAAAACTTAAACTTTATTTTTAAAAAATAAAAATATAAACTTTTAAGAACACTTTTATTTAATATATTGAAAAGAAAAATTAAATAAAAGAGGAAATGATAATATTAAAATAAGTTTATTTAATGAAACATTAATATTTTCAAAATGTTCTTAAACATTGAATTTCTCCTAAAAATAAATTATAATTTGAGAAAAAAAGAATATTATTAAAAGAAAATCACTCCAAAGTCTCTTGCATAGATTCTAATTACCACACAGTCTTATAAAATGCATAAACTCTTCTCAAGTCTCTTATCCTTTTTTCTTTTTTTTTTTTTGTAAATATGTAATATGTATAATTACCAAAATACCCTTATTTATAACACATCAACAACCGATTGCTCGAGCTTTGATGGGGCAGTCCAAAACTTCAGTCCACCATCATCACCGGTGAGCCACCACCACAATCACCAGAAATTTGACAACCGATAGTGGATGCGTTCAGGTTCTTAACCAAAATATATATATATATAATAAGAATATTTTAATAATTATACATAAAAAAATTTACAAATAAGGGATTTGAGAATTAAGAGTTAGACCATGCATTTCATGACTGACAATGAGAATCATTGTTGGGGACTTTATAGCGATTTTCTCTATTATTTATTTCTTCATTAATTTCAAGTTTTCAACCTTATTCTACTAGACAGGATCAACTATATGGATTACACATCTTAAAAAAATTTGTGGCTGTAGAAAATATAAATAGATAGCTAGAAGGGGGGCCCAGTGCTACTGATGACAAGAAATTCTTCTAAAATCCCTGTTAAGTCCCAAAAACATAACTTCATCATTATTAATTCCCAAAACATTTTTTGTACTTGGTACTCATCCTTGTAAATAATACTTTTCTCTCATAGATTTTACATTGACATTGATGGTTGAAGACGACATCGATTTTGATATGAAAAGTCTAGATAAAATACAATGAACTAATTAAATAATTTCATATCCGCTCACGCAAACACAAATAATTGCCCACAAAAGTCAAGCTAGGTTTCAAATCATTTCCACACTGATCGATCAGATAGTACAATGTTTCTGACCTCCGTCTGTAGATGAGCCTTTGGATTAGCCAAAAATGCCGAACTATATGAAAACTACGTTCTATCAGAGGTCATGGATGACAAACTTGCATCAACATCAGACTGTTTGACACGTTATTTAAATTATCCATTAGACTTGAGTCAAAACACTAGAATAGTCAGCTAGAACAATAAAATCTAGTATAGTGGACACAGAATATAATTGAAGAATAAAATCATCCCTTTTTCACAAAAATTGGAAGAATAATTAATTTGCAACTACCAGCATATTTTTGGTATTCTAGGAGCATTCTACAATAGCTCCAACATTCATATCAAGTCTAAAACAATCCCTCCCACAAAGACCTGTTGAAGGGGATGCTATCGTATTATGGTGAAGTAAGAATCATAGCACAGTTATTTGATTAATCATAAGCACCAAATTGTACTTGCAAAACAAACTAAAAGCTCATTAGCAAACAACTCAGCTAAACTTGATAACACTGGGAGATTACCACTTTGTCACTACAATGATAGAAGTCTCAAAACTGGAGTCGCACTCATCAAACAAAAGCATGCCTAGTAAAAGAAACCCAACACTTTACCACCAACATTCTTTCTCCTAGCCTCTTCATGATCCATGATACCGGCTGAGGTAGTCAAGACAATGTAGCCAAACTGCATTAGAGCAACCAAAGATTAGGGTCAAGTAGAGCATGTTTTCTCCACTCAAAATGGCTGGCATTCATTCCAATGCAGCGCTTTGGGAGATCCTAAAAAAGAACTTATGGAAGGCTTGAAACAGAAAAACAAACACAGAAATAGTAGACTATGCAAAGTTGGTAGGCTTATCAAGTAATAGCAAGTTCATGCCACAGGCTTGCAGTAGCCCAAGAAATACAAGCAAGCAACCATGAAACTTGAGAATCTATGAATCCTGACATGAAGGTACAAGAAGCAAATGCCAAAATACTTTTCTATGACTTAACAGGAAAACCTTACACAAGGGCTACGCTTATAGAGAGCAATGAAGATCACAAGTTGTCTGGAAAAGTTCGTTGACACATGATAGGACAATTCAGAGAAACAGACAATGTTACCAAGCCAGTTAACATAGGTGAAAAATACTAAGACGATGCTGAGTGGAGCCATTAATCAACTATGGACTAAGGGTCAACATACAAGAAGACCTAGTATTTTAATTGTATAGCAAGCGTTTTAGCTTACCTGTCTTGAGGGAAGTAGCCTTGCAGTCCAAGGTTCTATCTCCTTGACACCCACATCAAATCGGGGACTGATAACCCCACATTTATTCAATCTTCCATTCAATTCAACCACAATTTTGCCAGCCCTGTGATCATCAACGTACTCAAACTCTCCAATGTACCCTAGAAAGCACCAAAGTAAACCAGATCAAAACAAAATCTACATAATCAAGATTCCAAAAAGGAAGTGCTTTTAAGAAATAAAGTTGAGACATACCATGCTTCTGCATCACCAAAAGGAATTTAATGATCACTTTTGAGGATGGCCTAATCATGACCTGACGTTTTCCTCGTTTCTCAGCATTATACATACTCTTCAGAGCATCATTTAAGACACTAACTCTCACCATTGCCGCTGTTAAGAAAGGTTAAGAAGGGTTAACCATCTTCAACATAAAGTAACAAACCAATGCAAGACAGAAGCATGCATAAGTAGAAGAGAATTCATATTTAGAGGTTTAAATTCCTTTTAATGATACAATCTAGACATGTTTATACTACCACTTCCATCCTCTCTTATTTCCCTTGATAAAGGAGATATATCATGAATCAACATTACTAATTTAAATGGAAGCTACAAAAGTCCGTCTATCCATTACTGAAAAAATAGCCATAAGTGACACGAACTCTTGGACCGACATCCAAATAGCAATTCAGATTATAAAGAGTAAAAAGTTTCTTAAAACAGGAGACCCAAAAATAGTGCAGGCTCTGGTAACCTCTAACTTATGAACCCCCACCCCCAAAACAAAATAATAATCATAATAATCATAATAAGCAGATTCCTAAGAGCTGACTCAAAAACCAACTTTGCTTTGTTTAAATATGGCCGAACTTCAAATCCTTCGTGTCATCAAGCCATTCCAGTAATTTCTGAAAAAAATCACGTGTTTCAGACAGCTGCAATCCATTAAGAAAGTACACCAAAAACTTAATGTGAAAAAGCAAATTTCAAACTACACCGTTGTGGTTCCTCAAAGTCAAATATACAATATGAAAAACAGCACCGATAGGTAATAAAACCAATACAAACAACCAGCTTGCCCCCACTTTCCGAACAACACGTAAAACAACGGGAGAGGGGATTAGCAAGATCATGAAATGCAATTTCATACGTTTCTTCAAAGCTAACAAGAGGGCTGGAAACAGTAAACCCAGATCTTACCGACTCGAACGGAAAAACCTCTGTGATTCGGCGCGAGTGCGGTCGAGGCTTCAGAATCGAGACTGATCACAGCTCACAAGTTAAACGAAGAATAGCTGTAAAGCGCCTTCAAGTCTATTTAGGGTTTTGAAATTTGGGCTCTCCACTGATTGAGCGAAATGAGTTATTTGTGGGCTGAGTCTTTAACTCACTTGCGTGTTGGACTTTTTTCCATTTAAGCCCTTTTCAGTTCATGTTAAATAATAATGTTTCAAGCAAAAAAAATTTAGTTTTGGAACATTTCTTTTGTAATTCCGCTGAGAATTTAATGGATTTTTTTATTAGAAAATGCATGTTAAGGTTTTGAATTTAATAATTTATTAATAATTAAAAAAAAGAGTGACATTCAATAAAGACTCAAGATTTAATTTATATCAAATGGTTTAAGTTTGGAACCTAGTTATAAATTAAGTTTTGGGTTTGAAATTCATATCATATTTTCATTTTGCATATCAAAATATCTTATTTTAGGTCGTAATATTAAAATTGAAATTTTCTTTACAAAAAAACTGAAATTTTAATTATTATTTAACAAATATAAATGGTAGTAATTTTTAATCCTTAGTTTCTAGAATAAATAATGAAAATTTTAAAGTTATTTATATGAGCAAACTGGCATATAAATTATAGGTTCAAAAGCTTTTGAGACTTTAAACTCATTTTTTATGCAATATTTCTTTTTAACTTTTAAAAATGATACAATTGAATTCTTATCATTAACAAAAATTAACTTTGATTATTAATGAACAAAAAAAAATAATAGAAAAAGACTTTAAAAATTATTAAAAAAAGACTCAAAAATTAGAGACAAGGACCCCAAAAATTATAGAAGAAGACCAACAAATTTTTGTCAATTATTTTCTGTAACTTTTGAAATTCTTTGCTATTATTTTCTAATTAAATAATAAAAATTAACTTTTATTAATAATAAAAATTAAATTACACTATTTTTAAAAGTTTAAAAAATATTACATAAAAGCTTCTAAATTTATAATTTAAGACCAATTTACTCATTTACCTTTTAATTTTTTTACCATTGGTACATCATCAAAATTAATATATACATAAAATGCTTGCAGGCCTGTTTGTGTACACACACTATCAACCTTTAACTATATTTTTATCATTCAATTTATCAATATATCATTATCGTTTTGTTTTGGTAACCATATATTTATCTATGAATTCCGTGGCTCCAAAAAATATATTTTCTCTATTTAAAAATATAAGATATTCTTAACCAAATCACATCCATTAATAAAATAATTACTTATTTTTCAACTAATCCTATCTTTCTATATTTACTTCTATTAAACATCTTATAATAAATATAAAATTATTATCAATAGAGGTCCTTTTGAAAAAAAAAAGAATAATGATTACACCTTAAAAAATTAAAAAAAACCTTACATTTTTTAACATTTAACTTTTTAAAAAATATCTTACATTTTTGAACGAAAAGAGTATATAGTAACCTCTAAAATTTGTATAACCATTTTCAACCAAAAAAAAAAAAATACATAATCAATAAGACCCATTGTCATGGTTCATGTCCAAGTGATGTGCAAAATTCGCTATAGTACATCTTTTTAATTATTCAAAAAGAACAAGGTGCAAAACTCAAGATTTATATGTTGGCAAAAAAAAAAAAAACTCAATTTATATATCGAGAAAAATCACTACAGTACATCTTTTCTATTATATCAGGAAAGCTTAAATCTCACACATCTATCCATAAGACCATAACTCACCTAATTTTTGCCACTTGATATGAATTAATAATGTACATTTCTCAAACTCAAACCACATCTAATATCAACATGTTACTATTTTTTGCACAATAAAAAACACATTTAATAAAAGTAGTAATTTTATTTTTGGGGAAAAAGATCCAGAAAAAAATTTTCTCTTCTCAACTCAATCATAAGACTTTAATATTAGAAAAACTCGCTTATTCTTTTTTACCAAGTAAGGGATTCAATTATCTTAGAATCACTTATTTCACAACCTGAATTTTCAGATAATCAAGACTTTAGCTTTACATGCACTGAAATAGGTGTTGAAAACTAGACTAATCATTGAACCAATTAAGATACTAGTTTAAGAGTTAATGGTCAAAACCATAGTCAAATCATAATCAAATCAGTTATAAACAGAGCATTTTATTAAATCGGTCAAAATATTGATTTAACAATTTACCAATTCAACCATGCAGAGGCAGATTGACCCAAATTTCCCTACTATGACTGAAACTTCCACATTAAAAAAGAAAATGCCAATTTCAGGAAATAAAACAAACATCATTCCTTCACCGCAATGATTAAATGACTTATTAAGAAACTTGTGCACAACAGGTGGTGTAAAACCAAGCAACACTGAGTCAAAACATTTCACTGATCACCTTCAGATCAATTCAACCAAAGTGCTTTCTCTGGGTTTGAAAACTCCCCATCAGAAATGCAGGCAAACACCATCAGCTCGTCCAGCAATTCGGAGCAATCATTATTAATACCTGCTCCTTGGATACCTGAAATTCATGCCATCATTCACCATCCCCATTGCTTCATGTCAAGAGATTTCACAAGTAAATATAGACTCTGTCTACTTCAACTTCCCCAAGCGTTTCCCAGAAAAAAAAAAAAAAGAGAGAGAATTTCAATAAAGACCCCTTAATCACACTTAAATTTAAAATTTTTAAATTTCTAAAATTACACTGCAATTCAAAAGGTATTGGTTTGATGTTAAACGTTTGAGAAAACTAACAAAATTACCCCTCATTTGAATTTATATCAAAACTTTCCTACTTCATTTATTCATTATTCTACTTCACTTGTTAATTTATGTACGAAATGTTGTTAATCGCCCTACTTAACTTGTTTTCATTTTAAGTGTTTAAATCATCTTAAGACAATTTGTTAATTCATATATTGCATGTTATTCATTTACTTATGAACTCTTGTTCATTATTCTACTTCACTTGTTCATTACCAGACTTTTACTTGATTTATTTCAGGAAAATTTGAACAAGTAAAGTAGGACAATTAACAACATTTCATAAGTAAATGAACAAGTAAAGTAGAAAACTTAACAAGTGAAGTAAGATAATTTTGATATAATTTAAATGAAAGGCAATTTTGTCTTGCTCCTAAGAAATTTAATATCAAATCAGTACCTTTAAATTGCAGTGAAATTTCAAAAATTTAAGAGTTTTGAATTTAAATAAGTGTGATCAAGGGGTTTTTATTGAAATTCTCCAAAAAAATAAAAAAATATTCAAGTTTCTCAATTTGATGTGGTTTACAAAAATAAATAAATTAAGCCAAATAATTGTTTCTTTTTTCTTTTTTTGGACAGATGAGTAAATTACTCCTTGAATTTTAAGTCAAGTAGCATCACAAACTCTAAATTCATTTATTGTGCAAATTATTCCCTCAACTTTTGAAAACAATGCAAGCCATTGCCACTAACAAAAGTTAATTTTGATTGTTAATTGACTAGAAAATGAATTCAAAAATTACAAAAAATGACCAAAACATTTTAGTCATTTTCTGTGATTTTTTAGATCATTGTATGTGACTTTTGGGTCTTTTATTATAATTTTTCTATCATTTTTTGTAATTTTTAATGTCCTTTTCTATCATTTTCTAGTTAACTAATGGCCAAATTTATCTTTTGTTAATGGTAAGGACCAAATTACACCGTTTTCAAAAGTTGCAAAAATAATTTATGCAATAAATGAGTTCAAGACCTATGATGCTACTTGACTTAAAGTTTAAAGGACAATTTACTTATTTGCCCTTATATAGTTTTGTTTTCATAGAATTGGTGTACTTGAGAATATATGATTCTGGAAATCCAGAGAGGCAGGCATCCACCTTCTCTACAAGCTAGACTTGAAGGAAGGGAAACAGCAAACCTCGTCATGGCTATCAATGGAGGAAGTTCAAGGCTGCCTGTGATTGGGGATGAATGCAAATACAAAGTTGAAGTGCAAGCTGATAAATTGCACTTTTAAAAGGATTAATGAGATTTCATCAAAGGCCAAGCGTGTTATGGAGAAGTGGAAGAATAGCTGTTATGGAGACAACTCAAAGAGGCAGCGTGGAAAATTAAGAGTGCAACTTACACAACATTAAAAAACTACAAAGCCAGAAGCATATTAGATTTTAAAACAATGGTAACAATAAGCCTTATTTCATTAAGTAAAGTTGGCTACATGGATGGCAGAAAGAAACATTGCTACATTATTCAACCTAGCAGTGGGATTCATGTCCAAAAAGTAAGACCCCATCATTTATTTCCCTGACAACTACAATGCTTTGACACAATGCACAGGACTTGCTGCTAGAACAAATCAGCAGCGACATCAAAGGACACTTTCACATGCCAAGTAGTTGCATGCATGTAGATGAATACTGATATCTTCTAATCTGATATGCGATATAATCCACATAGAAAATTTCCAGGGAAGAAGATTTCTTACTTGACATGCTTGGCAAACCAACTCAACAAGTCTTGATGCGCCTCTTCAGCTGCTGACACGGCTTTAGCATCTTCAGTGTTGTACCTAACAGCCCAGCCGTGTACAACTTGAGGAAATATTTTCACGAAACTGTGAACCTGCATAAAACAAAAATGTAAATCAGAAACAAATCAAATACATATAAAGAGGACAATATTATCTTTCAAACAAAGATTTGGAGGTCAGCATTGCACTATGCATGTGCATGAAATCACAAAGGTGGAAACAGCAATCAGTAATAAGGTTTTCCAAGAGCCGAAGAGAAATCATTCTCTTCCACTATTAGGATGTCAAATTAGTACAAAGAAGGCAGTGTGAGATAAACACTTGTTATATTAGGATGTCAAATTGGACATTGGAATTGATTGCATTATCGGTTTTCAGGTCCTCCTTGTGCACATGATCATGAAAGCGAGAACTTAAAAAAAAGTGAAGACTGGTCCAAAGTAACAAAAATGCTAAACTCCATCGTCATGGCAGAACCAAATACATGACCTTGTGCATTAATGTCTGCCATAAAATGAACCAATGCAAAGGTAACTTGAAAGTTCTAAAAAATTCTGTCCTACTAAATTTTATGGACAAATTTCTTAATCTTGAACATAAATTAGAAGGAGCAGCTACCGCTCAAGTGCAGAACATAAGAATAAAATGTAATCATGTTATCATTACCCCCAGAAGGTGTGAATAGCATGACACTAAGTAGAATGGGATAATAATGGTGGAATATACTCAAAGTTGAGATACAGGCATACTCCCTCCAATTTTATTTATAAGACACCTTCTAAAGTAATTTTTGACCCAAAATGTAGAACACATTGTAATAATTAAACTAATTTTTCCAATTTTACCCTTTGTTAATCAATGTTGAGATATTTACTTTAGTTGTATCATGAATTCATGATTTAAAACTAAGGATAAAAATGAAAATACATCTATATTTTTATGATATCAAGAAAAAAATAACTTTTCTTAAGATACATAAAATGGTTAAAAGTGTCCTACAATAAGAATCAGAGAGCGTATACAATAAATCAAGCTTGTCATCCAAAAAAGAAAAAGAACAATACATTTTCTAGGTGAAAAAAATTTGTATGTTTTCAACTATACATAAGAAATTGACGTTGTTAACAAATCATCTGAGGCATAATCAAATTACCAAAATTTTGTAAATAAAAAATAAAAGAATAGCTCTTCATCACAAAGAGAGAGGAAAATCCTACCCCAGGTTTAGCAGATAGGATTTGTTCGAACTGTTTAACAAGTTCTGGAGGAGAAATACGGTCAGTCCCAGCTCCAAGTATAGCAATTGGAATTTCAATACCTGAAAGAAAATCCAATTATTCACTGCTACACTATGTAAATATCAGTAACTGGTTCAAGAACTTCTCTTTGAATGGAAGGAGTTCGTAAATCCTAATATTATCAAAATCATCTCATGATCAATTATACCAAAAGAAGTTTAATACAAAATTTCAAAAGAATTGGATACAAAGCCAATGTAAACAGCACCAGTTCAGGAAATAAATACCCTCCCGAATCATAAATCATATGAACAGATTACCATGTAATTTAAAAGTCTCTTATGCAACATCCTTAAATTGATCATATAATTAAAAACTGCAACATAATTCTGATAGTTATCCTCCTTTAGGAAATGCAGATGCTATATTTTCCCCCTAAAACAGCATAGGCAACTTAATATGAAAATATGGCATTGAAAAACCCTACTCTTGATGTCATCCACAGTGACTAATGATGGGTGTAATAGCACAGCAGCATTAATAAGTCCATGTTTTGCAACTTCAACCACAACCTTGGCTGAGAAGGGGGTAAAAAATACATGTCAAAATCACTCAAGAGTCAAGACAGTTGACTAAAATCACTGTATAACCGGTAATTTAATTTTAAATTTATTTGTAATTAAATAGATCCAGTACATACACCTACAAAGATCTGAAACTGCTATATACCCAAAATGAGAAAAATACAAAGAACACATAAAAAGTGGAGCAACAGGCACTCACCACCCCAGCAAAAACCAGCAGCCCCAATTGCTGAAATACCTTTACCTTTTAAGGCTTCAATCACAGGTTTAGCAACTTCAACACCCTTGTCCTAATGGAACAATATGACAGTATCAGGAAATACTATATTTCATTTTTACAAATGAAGCATGATTATTATACTTTTTTTTTTCCAATTCATAATGGTTGATCCCAAAATCCAAACCATGCTGTTGAGATAGAAGTTTTCTTAAAACAAAGCAAAAGATTTTTTTTTTTTTAACATGCACACTATTAGACAGACTTCCCATTTCTTTTAGGATCAACTAACCCATGTGCAAGTGCTGTTCACATGGAAGCTTTCCCCTCTTTGGCCTTTAAAGTTTTCTTAGGATGCAAAAGATTTTATTCAGATTAAATTAAAAAAATTATTTTTAAAAATAACACAAGACACTGTACAATAAAATGTGTTCAAGTAACATAACAGGTAACATTAAGAACTGACCGGTGAATGATCTTTTACCCAAACAGATAGTGGCCGGTCAGCTTTCTTAGCATCAAAGGGATCGCCATGGATGAAATCAGGAACTACTACAAAATACCCTGCTGCAGCAACTTTGTCTGCAAGCTTCCTTCACAACCAAAAAGAAATGGCATTACTATCCAGGGGATATTAGTTCATTAATCAAATCAGAAAAATTGTGATGAGAGAGAGAAAACAAAGAAATAGCTGACAAGTACAGTCAAAACAGATGATCATATCGCCTCTTATCATCTAAGAAAGTCAAAAACCTAGTTATATAGTACCTACAAATATCATAGACATCATACAGCACTACTTTCATAAACCTTGACCTCTAAATGATACTTTGCACATCTATATGTTTTTGGCATGGTAAAAAGATAGATAGCCATTTCATTATTTCTTCATAAAAATTAAACTCCGTCTGCTACCTGAAGCAGAAGCTAAGCTAATGGCACAAAGAGGACCAATTGGTTCAACTACAATATCAGGCAGATTATCTTCCATACTAACTTCATGAAATTCATGAATCCATAATAGAAATGAGCAATTGGATCCAAGAAAACAGGGATTTGAATTTTGAAATATAGAAATGCACTGGGATTAATTTATTATTAGCAGCAGGTGTCAATCACCCAAAACGTATATTAAAAAAAAAAATTTGAATAACCAAAAAGACTATTAACTATAATTACAATAGCCGAAAAGAACTTTAATTACAATAGACATCACTTTCGAATAACTTTCAGGTTCCAAACATAACAACTAATGAAGTCAAACTATAATACAGGTTGAAGCAAACAGAAGGCCAAAATAAATAACGTACTATGAAAATAACTATATCAGCCAAAATAAGAAACAAGAAAAGCAGAAAGTATATTGGTCATACCTCAAATTTGGCGCTTCATAACCTGCAGGACAAGTTGCACATGCGAAGTTAAAAGATGAATTTGATTAACATCTATAAAGCCGATACATGTTATTACTGATTCGGTGAAGAGATCACAGCTTCAAAAGATACTGACTATTTTAATCTCTATCAGGGTAAAAGATGATATCGTGCATGAGTGCATGAATCCAAAAATATAGGCATTTGCATGTTTCAACTTTAGACCAAAATATATCATGCACATATATTTGAACAGAGATAAGCAAATAACACTATAATAGATACATTCAGCCCAAAATAGCACTTTGGAACCTAAAAGAAACACATCCTAAACTTATGCCCCATTCAGCCCGAAAAAGGGGGTCTTCATAAAATATAAATTGTTTTATCGTGAGTCATGTGATAGAAACAATAGACCAAACTTATTCAGAATAAACTTCCAGAACTAAAACCACATGTCTCAGAAATAGACGGTATCGGTAACTCAAGGCTGAAACATCATAATCGGAATTTATTATATCTTTGAACAATATCTTCTGTAAACCGGAATAGGGCCATGGGTGTAAACTACAAATAACAACATTGAACACAAAATGAAGATACTTCATAGAAGACTAAGAGTGAGTGAACGAACTGATGAAAAAATAAACAAGTTACCAAAGACATCAGAGATCAGGAGAATGGCAAGCTTGAAGTCGGCGGAGCCAGAGACGTAAGTATCGACGCCACCGACTTTTTCAACTCGACCAGCTCCAGCACTGGGGTTGAACGTTGGAGGGTTTGAGCAACACTCTGGACCTGACATCTCTTGCTTCTTCTTCTTCTTCTTCTTCTTCTTCTTCTTCTGATTCCAGTAATCACAACACGCAGTGAAGATCAGAGCTCGATACTTCCTCGGAGTATTTAAATATGATGAACGGACCTCTCTGGGGTTTGCTTCTAGATGATTGAGGAAGAAGGACCACAACCGGGAGTTCCATTTGCGTCTGTGATGACTGATGACGCTTAGCGTTAGCACCAAATGGCGAAATGCAGCAAAAATGCTATTTTTCTTTCACGTAGAGGATAGATGAATGCTTGTTTTTGTTTACAGGGAAAAAGAGAACAAATGAATACTTTGGCCGAATAAAAAAATTAAAAATAAGAAAAATAGAGAGAATTACAATTAAAAAAATTAATTATTTTCTTAATTTTAACAAGTCAAATTTCGATATTTACATATCAAACCTTAACTAACCCATTGATAATTATTTTTTTATTTTTGAATTGTATATAATTATCTCAAAAAAAGCAAAGAAAAAAAATAAGATGTTAGTAGTTCTCATTTCTCGCCGATTCTGAAATATTATTGATAAAGCTAGGAATATTTCTGAAAAGACTGGAATGTCTCTTTGGATTGTATTATTAGGCCAAATAAGACTTTTCCTTATATTCTAATAAAAAAAAAACTTCTCTTGACATTCCTTCCAATATTATTCATAAAAATTTAATTATTAGTTATTAATACAAAATTTCTTTATAAAATTTAGGGTGAATGAGCATCTAAGACCATAAATTATTGCATAAATAATATTTTAAATTATAAACTCATGAAATGTGTATTAGAAATTTCATAAATAAATATAAACTCTATTTACTTCAACTTGCCCAAGTGTTTCCATGGGGGGGGAATCTTCAAGTTTCTTAATTTGACATGGTTTACAAAAAGAAATAAATCAAGCCAAATAATTTTTTTTCTTTAATAAATAAGTAAATTACCTTTTGAATTTTAAATTCAATAGTATCATAAATCTTGAACTTGTTTATTGTGGAAATTTGAGTAAATAATAGAACTTTTAGGGGTTTTATAGAATTTGAAAGCAAGAACCTCTCTTTATTTTCTCATGAGAGATAATTAAATTTTAGAACCAATTGCTACATATGCCTAGATCTTGGATAAATGAAAATTTTATGGAAAACCCGTCGTCGGACTTGATTAATCACTCTTTGTTGTCCAAAATGAATGGTTTCATTTTTGTAACTTTCTAATTGTTTCAAAGTCATATAAATTGCTTGCAGTCATGGTAAAATCTTGATTTATTTAATCATCAAGGGATATCAAGTACTAGAAAATACAACATTTTTGTCATTCGACCAACCATCAAGAGAAGTAAATACAATAGGTACACCAATTAGTAAAATTGATGAAGTAGCAATTAATGCAAAAACAGCCAATTGGAAAGCAATATTATTCCATTAATTTTTAAAAACGATGCAAGCACCTGTTGTTAATAAAAGCAAATTTTGACCTTTAGTTTACCAGAAAATGATAGAAAAGGATCCCAAAAATTATAAAAAAATGATCAAAAAATTTTTGTCCTTTTCTTTAATTTTTGGGTCATTGTCTATAATTTTTAAATCTTTTATTATAATTTTTTTTCATTTTCTATAATTTTTTGTTATTGTCTTTAATTTTTGGGTCTTTTATTGTAATTTTTTGGTCATTTTTTATAATTTTTTATGTCATTTTTATTATTTTATGATTAACTAATGGCTAAAGATATTTTTTTGTTAATGGCATAGATTAGATTATACCATTTTCAAAAGTTGAGAAAAATAATTTGCACAATAAAGGAGTTCAAAATTCATGATGCTACTTGACCTAAAATTTAGATGATAATTTACTTATTTACCCTTATATTTTTGCTTTCATAAAACAAGCATACTTGAGAATATATGGTTCTGAAAATCTAGACAAGCAGGTATCCACCTTCTCTAGACTTGAAGAAAGGGAAACAACAAACCTCATCACGGCTATCAATGGAAGAAGTTCGAGGTTGCTTGTGATTAGGAATGAATGCAAATACAAAGTTGAAGTGCAAGCTAATAAATTGCTTGATGCAACACACACACTTACATAGATTTGAATAGGGAAAGATAGTAGAGAAAAGAAGAAATAGGGAGGGAGAAATGAAGAAGATGAAGAATAGAACACTGGGAAAGTAAGAGAGGGAGAGAGGGAGAGCCTCAAAAACTCATAATACTCAAATAATATTCATTCATCAAGTATGTTTCTTTACAAGTGCAACCAAGTCTATTTAAACTATAATGACTAATAAGGAAACCTTAATTAAATTTCCATATGGAGCTAATTTTCATATTTCCTCTTACAAAATAACACAAAAGGAAACTTTAATACCATGTCCATATAAAATTAGGTTTCATATCTCCCTTCTTACAAAATATTAAAATAATATAAAGGAAACTCATCTTTTTTCTAGAATAATGTTTCCCATATTTTCTATCAATTCCCTTTGCTTCAAAGAACTTTTAGATAGGCTTCTAACAGGGCAAGATCAAGTTGTCTAAACTCAATTTTTGAGATTCAGGTGACATCTTTATTTGAACAACCCTTCCAAGAAATCAAGTAACGATAGAGGGGCCCCTCAAAGGTAAAGACAATTTGGTCATCCATAATGGTTTCAATCTCTTCCATTAATAGTGAGACAAATGACAGTTGCAAAATTGGCACTTACAGGAGCTGAGTACCTATAGAATCATCAAAAAGTAAAGAGAGGGGCTTAAAAGTTCCTTGGTAAGGCGTAAAATCCTCCACAATAAAAACTGGACTTATTGCCATACTAAGAGCTAATTCTAAAAAATAAGCATTAGCTCCTAATTTCTTTACTATGCAAAAAGGTATAGTAGCTCTAGCATGCAACTTTTTAAAAGTGTATTTAGGATAATGTTTTGGACGAATTTGAGCCATAACATAGTCACCTATATTACAACTTTGAAATTGATGGTGAGTATTAACAGATAATTTATATTAATCATTACTTGTTGTTAATTTGTGCCTAATTTTATCATGTAATTCATGAAGGTGATGAGCAAAGGATTCTATAATGTCAATAAGATTGGCATAAGGTCAATAGGCTATTTAAGATTAATACCTTGAATAATATAGAAGGGACTCATCCCTATTCACTGAATTATTATATGCAAACTCAATAGTGGATAGAACCAAATCTAACTAAACTTCTAAGCAAATTACCCAAACTTCAATTAGTAACTTACGATTTGCCTATCTATCTGGGGCTGGAAAGCAAAAGAAAACTTTAATTAGATATCAAAAAGCTTCCATAAGGTTTTCCAAAAGTAGCTAACAAACTTAATATCCCTATCAAATACAATGGTAGTAGGTAACCCATACAGATGCACAATCTCATCAATAAACAATTTTGCAAGATGAGAAGCATCTGTAGTCTTGCCACACGGAATAAAAAGGGCCAACTTGGGGAATCTATTCGAGGCAATATAGAATCATGACTTCTAGTTGTTCGAGGCAATCTCAAGATAAAGTCTATACTCAAGTCTTTCCAAGGTGCCTTAGGGATCGATAAAGGAGTGTACCAAACAATATTCTATCTTTTAGCATTATAAGTTTGACAAGTTTGACATTGAGACACTATGCGAGCCACATCACGCTTAAGGAAAGGCTAATAGAATATGTCTTTGACTAATGCCACAGTTTTAGTAATCCCAAAATGACTAGCTAAACCTCCAGTATGTAATTCCTAAACATAAAAATCTTGCATAGAAGTACAGCAAATACACATTTTGCTTCTGCAAAAGAGATGACCATCTTTAAGGATGAAATCAACATGATCATGACAGTTACTACTATTAACCTTTTGGAATATTATCCCAAAATCTTGACATGAAGCATAGTCTTCCTTTAAGTTTTCAAAACCTACAACACTATCGCTCATAGTATGTGATAAGTTGGTCCATTGGCTTAGAGCATCAACCATTTGTTTTCTATTCCTAACTAATGTTTGGCTATAAAAGTGAATCCTTGAATATACTCAACCCACTTAGCATGTTTAGCATTTAAGTGCTGCTAAGAGTTGATAAGCTTAATTATCTGATGATCAGAGTAAAGAATAAACCATTGGGGAAGGAGATAATATTTCCAAAGCTTGAGAAATCTCATGATGGCATAAAACTCTTTGTCATAAGTGGAGTATTTTTATTTTGCATCATTTAGCTTACCATTAAAGAAAGCCACTGATTCCTATCCTAAATGCATCACAAAAAATCTCAAAACACTTTGTAAAATTCGGTAAGGATAAGATTAGAGCTTCAGAAAGCTTCTTCTTAATATTCAGAAAAGCTAAGGATGCTATAGAAGTTCACTTGAACTTATCTTGTTTTAAGCAATCAGTGATAAGAGACATAATGGTACTAAAGTTTCTAATGAAGTGTCTATACAAAGAAGTAAGGCCATGGAAACTTCATAGAGAGATTTTGGCTCGAACTTTCTCAGGGTTGGCTGCTAATCCCTTTTCAAAAATTGTAAAACCTAGGAAGATGATTTGATTATAAAGAAATGAGCACTTGGGCAAATTAACATAAAACTGTTTGTAAGGTGAGAAAAATTAATTGAAGATGTTTCAAGTGTTCCTTTTTAGACTTGCTAAAGACTAGTATGTTATCAAAGTATACCAGTAAGAATTTTCCTAAGTATGAGTAAAGGAGGTGAGTCATTACTCTCATAAATTTACTTAGGGTATTTGACAACCTAAACAACATGAGAAGCCATTCAAACAATCCATCTTGCATTTAAAGGTAGTTTTCTACTCATCTCTAGGTCAAATCCTAATTTAGTAATAGCCATTCTAGAGATCAATTTTTGACAACTAACTAGATTTAGATACCAAATCAAACATGTCATCAAGTCTAGGAATAGGAAACCTATACTTGATGGTAATCTTGTTAATGGTTTTACTGTCTGCACACATTCTCTAAAGAGCCGTTTTTCTTTGGAGTCAAAAGAACAGTTATTGCATAAGGACTTATACTATGTTAGATATAACCTTGCTCTAACAGTCCATTGACTTGTCGGTTAAGCTCTTCCCTATCTTTTGGATTTATTATGTAGTTTGATAAGTTAGAAAGTTGTGAACTTAGAGTAAAATCAATCGCATGTCATGAAAGTAATTCACAGTGATGTCCTAAAATTGTTTTAAGAGTTGTTGCAGTTCCCTTAGCATTTTCATA